TCAATCTGAAATACCGTTGACAGTCAAATCATATCAAAAATCTATATAAAATGCCTCTAAAATTGTTATATTTTGCTCTTTGTAGGTAATAAGTATTAAAGGTTAATCTATAGTTTACAAAGTTGATAATAAGTTGAATAGTCTGATATTACAGAATTATCTCTTTGAGTACCGTCATTATAGACACAGTTAAATAACAATAGGTTGCGGTCACCGGTGTCCTCGCGGTGTTTGATAGTTTAAAAAAGACACTAGGTATATTAGTAAACTTTTTGGTATATTTGTTTCGTTCTTGCTGAATTGATTTTGATTACATTTTAACTCGAAGCATGATTACAAAGTCTAATTTATTTTGGAAGTAAATTCTTTATCATTTTTAATGATTGACAACAACTCAAGCCAAAACTGCAGGTTAAAACTAGTATGTCATAAATATGTTCACTTGTTTTTGAACTTAAATAAATTTTAAAATAAGCTACAGATTAACCTCTTTTAATAAAATAAAAAAGCAAAACACTTCATTCAAATATTTTCTACAAAATAATGCCATCATTTTTAGATTTGCCAATGGTTTTTTTACTAATCAATATGAAATGTAGTTTAGACAAAATAATGTTGCCACATTTGTAGTTTTATTTTAATATATAGGTTAGGTTTAAAAATTCAAATAATAATAATTGGGCCAATTTTTTTTTGGCAAAAATTCATAAAGAATGATAATATGAAAAGAGGGTTTATGTAGCAATTCTGCCTACCCCTTCAGTGAATAAATAGAGTGATATTTAAGTTATAAGTGTCTAAATAAAGTCCAAATCTCTTTTATGTCATGATGGGATAAGCAAAGTCAAGTAAGGTAACCGATTTCTATGATATAATTAAATCCTTATGTTTTCTGTTAATTAGAATTGGCCCAAATACATACATGATTAGGCATAAAGGACACAAACATTTATATATATGTACCTAATACATTTATATATAGAAATAACATTAAGTAGGTATATAAAAACTCACTTATTTTGACATATACCCTTTACATAAAACACAATTATTTTTAATATAAATCAAATCAAAAAAACTATCTTAAACATTAATTAAAAATCGAGGGTTACTCAAGTGAATATACTGAGAAAAGCTCTACTAGTTTCGAGCAGCGTGCGCGGTCGCGGCGATGTCGTGAGGAAGAACCCCTCTGTGGTTCGAAACTAGTAGAGCATTTCTCAGTATATTCACGTGAGTAACCCGCAATTTTTAGTTAATTTAGTATGTCTCACGATAGTTATTATAAAAACATATCTTAAACATTATTTTAAAATCTAGATTTAGGCCTATAGTATTAAAACATCGAATTGCATTTAAACATCAAATATTTCAGGTGCATTATCGACATTAAGCGTCTAGGAACTTATATACTGTACACTGATTCATGACTACTGCTCCCTATATTTAATAAATAAAGATGAAATAGAATACTAGGTACCGCTGTTGTTATAAAAACTTATTTATTCCACATTTAGCTAGTTAAAGCAATAAAAAGATCTAAATAAACATTAAAATCAATTCATTCAGTTTACATTCATTCAGTTTACATTCATTCAGTTTGCATTCATTCAGTTTGCATTCATTCAGTTTGCATTCATTCAGTTTGCATTCATTCAGTTTACATTCATTCAGTCATTCATTCGCGTTTACAAATAATTCACTACCTCTCTCACACATTCACACATCGAAATTCTTAATTTTTTTGATTTTAAAAAACAACTTTAACATAACATTCTTTCTTTCGGCTTTCTTCCCCGAAGGGGTAAGCAGAGGTGCGCTTTATGACACATAATGTCACTGTACAATGTAACACCCACTTTTCACTATTTATGTTACGAGTCCCATGTAATAGGGGGTGAACCTATTGCCATATACCGGGCACAATTCCAAACTCCGTGCTACCACTGAGATTTTCTTTTAAAAACCCAGTAATACTTTGCCCGACCCGGGAGTCGAACCCGAGACCCCTTGCACGGAAGTCGCACTTGCGACCACTAGTGAATTAACAAACACGATTCTGACATACCTCTTTCGCTTCATCTACATTCATAAACCACTTCAACGCACGATCGATAAATGAAATTCAAAAATATTTTTAAAATATATATATATACCTATATATCTAATTGTCCCTGGGGCTTACGACTTACTATACTAATTATATAATACACAATTTAATCATTTCTTTTCTATCTACCTGACTTACTTCTTAATCACTTTTGTCGTTTAATTAACCATTCAAATCAGAATGTCGGGGTGTTCTGTAATAGGGTAGTTTCCTAAATTTTATTTTAATCTCCGTCTGGTACATGTATTTAAAACTTTAGACACGTATTTTTTCTTTTCTCACAAAATTAAATACTTTCGACGCTATATTAAATTGAATATCGTGTGACGTCACAACGTGTCGCATTTTGTAGCACGTTATGACGTAACAACCTCCCACTCCTAAACTTAGCGCCATTTTATCTAAGTATTGCAACTTAATACTAGAAAATAAAAAAATACGTGTCTAATATTTTTTCATTTTATAACTGACGGACTAATTAGATTTTTAATTTTGATACCCTGGAAACTACCCAATTATATATGTAAATATAAACCTGTAATTGTCGCGTAGTTGGATCTTCGCATATGGAGAAGGAATCATTAATCACCATGCTTGTTTATAGGTAATTGGTTTTGAACCTATAATTTGAAATTATAGTCTTTCCTTTACGACGTTTTCCTTCACCGTATATCAGTATAGTACCCAAATCTGAATTAATTGTATAATTATAATTTATTTATACTATAATAAATTGATGTTATATATTGTGCGCCTAATTTTATCTTCATTTAAATATTACTTACGCTTTTTAATAAATCGTAAATTTAGAATCGATTATGATTTTTTCATATCTATAATTTAAATCTCATGATTTATATTTATAATGGGTTCAAAAGTTTTGGGATTTTTAGCCGTATTTTGTCTATTTCATATTATTATTAACTATCTACCTAATAATACATTGAAAAATAATTACTAAGAGCTAATTATAAATTATTTTAAATGCTCCGTTTATGGCATAATTATGGCAGTTTCACATTGATCACACTCATATAAAATTCAATCTTAATAAAAATTTATTAAAGCAGATATTTCTTTGACTGTAGGACAAAAACTTCATTTTTTAACATTAATCTATTTATGCTGATACATAATTTTATACATACGTCACACACAGACGTGGAACAATTTTTTCTCAAAACAATAGTTGTTCCGTGCGGGAATAGAACCCGCGAACGACAAACAGTAAGTTTTCTAAACGAATTGCATTGTAAAATGTCATTGGGTACTTGTCAACTAGTCAAAATCAATACTTTTTCGAACTGTCAAAAACGACAATTTTGTATGACTTTTGTACGAGATTCTGAATTGTGACGTCACGTTTTATTAGCGTTCAACAGCACACTTATATTTTAAAAATTTACTGAACAAATACTTAAGTTAAGTTGGTCATAAAATCAATTAATGAAAGTGTGACTATTTTTTAATATTTTGTTGTATTGAACAGTGGAAATAATTAATTTTTGATTAAGGAAAGTATCCAATTTTGTGTATTTTTTTTCACTCACTTAAAACATTATTAAAATATACACATATTTCTGAAATCACATATAAACATATTTTAGTTATTAAACGTTATATAAACAGATCTAAATTAAGACTCGCGATCAGAGGGCGCTAGCTTAACTTAAGGTCTCAATTATCTAATTTATTATTTGTTAATGTCCAAGTCATTTGTCAGTCAACTTGTGATAGCTAAGCTGATTTGATTAGGTAATAAGACCTTACAGCTCACTAGCGCCACCAAGCGAGAGAAAAATCTAAAACTCTTATTATATAAGAGTTAGGTAAAGGAATCGAGGTAATCAATATACTAAATTATGTTTATTATAGTGTTATAAAAATAAGATTTAAAGTTATTTTGTGTATTACAAGCAAAAAATGCTGTTATAACAATAAATAATACAAAAACATATAAACTACAATTAATATTAATTAATAAAAAAACATTATTTCTACGGCATTTAAACTTATACTACATTAACTAATGCTTGATTGATAGATTGACATACAAATGTTCGATTGATTGATTGATAGCAAACGGATGATTGATAAATCTATCTGTAATGGTGGGGTTACCTGTTTCTTGTACTTTACATTCCCTTCTATTTGGGGTTCAAATAACGTCAATTTCTTGATAACCTGTAAAAGAAAAAATATCATTGTTAGTTTATTGTTAAATTAATTTTTACAGAATTAGGTTCCGATAGTTGCAGTGGAGTAAGAATAATCTCTTTTTATAGAAATTCTTATTAATTTATTGTGTATGGGTGCGACTGCTGGGCAAGAGGCTTTTCGCATTCGATTTCCGGGGCGGGCAAAATATTATTGGGTTTAAAAAGATTCTCAGCACGGAGTCTGGAATTGGGTAGTTTCCAGGGTATCAAAATTAAAAATCTATTTAGTCTGTCAGTTAGATAATGAAAAAATATTAGACACGTATTTTTTATTTTCTGGTATTAAGTTGCAATACTTAGATAAAACGGCGCTAAGTTTAGAAGTGGGACGTCGTTACGTCATAACGTGTTACAAAATGTGGCACGCTGTGACGTCACACGATATTTCAAATTAATGTACCAGACGGACATTAAAATAAAATTTGAAAAACTACCCTATTGTGCCCGGTATATGGCAATAGGCTCACCCCTTATTACATGAGAATCATAACATAAATAGTAAAAAGTGTGTGTTACATTGTACAGTGGCATTAAGTGCCACCTCTGCGTACCCCTTCGGGGATATAAGATGTGGATTTTATCCCACTGGAACGCAGGCGAAGCTAGTCTATGATATATGTATGTACTTACAAGTAAACACGTGCGTCCCGTGTTTACTCGTCCTCCTCCTGCTAGGTGTCCTGAGGCGCGCAGTATAGCGTCGCCTGTCGGTGGACGCCTGTGAATAAATCTATATATATGTTTATAACGGAGGAACACACACATTTATATATATGTATAGTTTAAAAAATAATAAGTTTAAAACAAAAAAAATAATAAATTTAAAATAAAAGAATATAAGTTTAAAGTTATATCTATTAATGAGTACTGGTACCATTATTTTGAAAAGTTATTATTGTCATTCATTTTGAGATATTTATTTTTATGATAGTTAGATTTTTAAATGGTATTAGATATAAGAAAACTGAAATCTATCCTAAGAAAACTGTATGTATCTAACCATACAAATAAATAGAAAGTATATCTTTCTTATAATTTCAGTACTGAATACAATAATTATGCCTAGTAAGTAACCTATTTTAAAAATAACTGAGACCTCATTTAATATGTTTTGTGAACCTGAATTAGAATTTGAAAATCAAAGAAATGTATCACTTTCGATTTATTTCGAAATAAAGGATTGAGTTTTAATATGTAGTTGGAATATATTTAAATATTATTGCTAAAATATCAGGTTATAGAATTATGTGACTTTTTCGAATAACATTAAAAAAATATAAATATATACCTAAACCTCTTCCCTTGCTGACTGACTGTCTGACTGAACGTTTGACTGACTGTCTGACTGAACGTTTGATTGACTCTCTGGCAGAACGTTTGACTGACTGTCTGACTGAACGTTTGACTGACTGTCTGACTGGCTGTTTGATTGACTGTCTGACTGAACGTTTGCCTGACTGTCTAGCTGAACGTTTGATTGAGTCTCTGGCTGAACGTTTGACTGACTCTCTGACTGAACGTTTGATTGACTGTCTGACTGAACATTTGATTGACTCTCTGACTGAACGTTTGATTGACTGTCAGGCTGAACGTTTGATTGACTGTCTGACTGAACGTTTGACTGACTGTCTGGCTGAACGTTTGACTGACTGTCTGACTGAACGTTTGACTGACTCTTTGGCAGAACGTTTGACTGACTGTCTGACTGAACGTTTGACTGACTCTCTGACTGAGCGTTTGACTGACTGTCTGACTGAACATTTGATTGACTCTCTGACTGAACGTTTGATTGACTGTCAGGCTGAACGTTTGATTGACTGTCTGACTGAACGTTTAATTGACTGTCAGGCTGAACGTTTGATTGACTGTCTGACTGAACGTTTGACTGACTGTCTGGCTGAACGTTTGACTGACTGTCTGACTGAACGTTTGACTGACTCTTTGGCAGAACGTTTGACTGACTCTCTGGCTGAGCGTTTGACTGACTGTCTGACTGAACGTTTGATTGACTCTCTGACTGAACGTTTGAGTGACTCTCTGGCTGAACGTTTGATTGAATGTCTGACTGAACGTTTGACTGACTCTCTGGCTGAACGTTTGACTGACTGTCTGACTGAACGTTTGATTGACTCTCTGACTGAACGTTTGAGTGACTCTCTGGCTGAACGTTTGATTGAATGTCTGGCTGAACGTTTGATTGAATGTCTGACTGAACGTTTGACTGACTCTCTGGCTGAACGTTTGACTGACTGTCTGACTGAACGTTTGATTGACTGTCTGACTGAACGTTTGACTGACTCTCTGGCTGAACGTTTGATTGATTGTCTGACAGGCTGTTCGACTGACTATCTGCCTGGCTGTTTGATTGACTGTCTGACTGGCTGTTTGACTGATTTTCTGTCTGACTGACTGACGGAGAGGACACCGCCGCAACCACTGGATCTAAGAAACTGAAACTTAGTATGCATATTCCTTGGGGAGTGTAGGGGACCACTGAGGTTTTCCCTAAATTCCCACGGGAACAATAATGAGAAAAAAAATAAATAAATGGGAATCACTTGTTTATGCGTATGAAGTTGCTTGAGAAACTAGTAAAACAATATTTCCATAAGTATTACACAAAAACAAATTATAAAAAAAAAATTAAAAACCCATAAAACACAACCCCACACACACCTACTTTTATAAATTAACATTTTAAAACAATAAAAATAATGTACTAAACACGAGAGTTGTCTCTGCGCTCGATAGATGGCGTTGTACAATTCCGTACATTTCCTGAATCGCGCTATGGTTTCGTTACACGCGTTTAGCTAGGGTCGGCGGTCGACGCTTGAGTATTCAGTCGTTATTACGACGCCCCTAAGGGACTATAACATAACTGGTATTTTTTGATATAAACTCGTAGTCGAGAGACTTGCGAGTTTTAAAAACCTAAAAAACATAAATATTATAAATTTTAATATAATTAAAACTGTAATTAAAATATTAAATACGCGTTTAAAACCGTTGATATAAGAAAATAAGGACTTCTAACGAGCCTATACTCGATACTCAATGTTTCTTTTCCTAGCAGATACTTCTAGATTCTATAAGCCGCCTTCCCATTTCCACCATCAGGCCAGGTCAATAGTAGCATATTTTTGTCTAACAAATACTAATAAGATCCTAGGACTCCCGAAGTTGTGAGATAACTGATGGATATTTATATTTACATAATGTGCATCTCTGGCCTACCCCTTTTAAAATTAAAATGCGTGATTGATGTTATATATGTAATTGTAATGTAACGCCATCTATCGGTACAATTAGAGAATTAACTAATTTGTGGGTGTTCATGGGGATAGTACATTATTTATACATCGAGGTGTTGTGCGTGTCTATAGGATGCCGATTGCTTACCATCAGGTGATCCGTGTGCTCGTTTAACGGCATATATGATTTAAATTCAAATATCTTTATTGCTGAACACAGTACATTAAGATCCATTGCAAGATGTTAGATGATTGTGCAGTTCACTATGTTTCACCAATCGAGGCATGCAATTTACTATTTATTTATTTTATTTTTGACTGCCTTTTGACTTTTGATTGACTGCCTCGTTGGCCGAGTGGTCGCAAGTGCGACTGCCGGGCAAGAGGTCTCGGGTTTCGGGTCGGGCACAGTATTATTGGGTTTTAAAAAAAAATCTCAATAGAAGCACGGAGCCTGGAATTGTGCCCGATATATGACAATAGACTCTCCCCCTATTACATGGGGCTCATAACATAAATAGTGAAAAATGAGTGTTACATTGTACAGTGGCATAATGTGCACCTCTGCCTACCCTCTCGAGGGTAAAAGGCGTGATCTTATGTTATGTTGTACAATTAATGTCAAAAATCGATCTATCTTCACACCCATCACAAATCTTGCTTAATAATATCGGCCGATAGATGTTTAATTAAAATTTGATTTTATTATGTTCTAAAAAGTTGTCTCAAACTCACCAGGGTATCGATGCTGGTCGCAGGGGTCCGGATGGTCAGGGTCCGGTGGCGGAGCCCTGGTCAGCGCCTCGTCCCCTCCAGGGAGACAGGTCTCCACCATCGCTTCTAAGCAGTTCACGAACAGCTCACTGCTTTCTGCTGTGCATTGGTTCTGTAAAGTAAATTGTTCAATGGGGATGATGACAGGGTATGAAAATTAAAAATATAATTAGTCCGTAAGTTAGGTAATGAAAAAATATTAGACACGTATTTTTTTATTTTGTCGTATAATAAAACAATACTTAGATAAAACGAATCAAAGTTTAGGAGTGGGGGTTAAAACGTCATTTCTTAGTATAAAATGTACTGAGAAGTGACGTCACGCGACATTTCAAATCAATATATCTTCGAAACTATTCGTTTCTGTGAGAAAATAAAAAATACGTGTCTAATGTTTTTAAATAATCTATCAGACGGACATTAAAATAAAAATTAGTCGTCTACCCTATTATAGTCAATTTTTTTATACAAATTTCGTCTCAGAGAATTGGGTACTTAGCTTAGTTAAAAATAAATTATTTCGACTTTTAATCAATACAATCAAATATTTGCTTTTACGGTATAGGTAAACAATTTTCAAATTGGTTCATTTTTAAGATAATACATATAACATAACATAACATCACGCCTATCTTTCATCCCCGAAGGGGTAGCCAAAGGTGGAAGATCTTGTAAAAAATTCAGTAAGACTTTATAATAAAAAAAAAATGCTATTTGACGTCAAACAACAATGTCAACACACAATTTTGTACAAAATTAAAAAACAACCTATATTTTCATTCTTTCACATCTAGTATTGATTTTGACTTTTGGGGAATAGGTATCCAATTATGAGATTATACATATAATTACAATGATTAAATAACCAGTCCTTACATTCTTACACGACTTACTAGCATATACTAGCACACCTATTGGTTACATATACATGTTATGTTATTTTTTTTTTTTTTTTTTTTTTTGAAATAAATAAATAGATTGGTATAGTAGGATCGCCTACCACAAGCATAGTCTTGCTTATAAGGTTTTTCCTAAAATATTGTTTGTATGTACAATTATACATAATAGTTGATGAAATAAATTATTTTTTATTTATAAAATGTTTAATACTGTGAAAAAGATACCGGAGTTTTTGAGAAGTAGGTTAAAAATACCAAACAAATTTTTGTTTTATGGGATTTAAGTAGTTTTATATTCAACTTTATTATGTTTTGACTACATGGACGGAGCTGTGGGTTGAAAGCTAGCATGGTGACATCTTATACTATTACTTTGTACGCGTCAATCTCCGGAGCTACTTACTGGTCCGATTTGAATAATTATTTTTGTGTTGGATAGTGCACTTATCAAGGAAGGCTATAGGGCTATAAAACATTACATAAAACATACAGTAGATACAACCATGAAAACACCGGAACACTGAAGTCCGGCGCGTCCCAGGGACATAAATAACTGTCTTGGTTCCCGCAACGAAGTGAATCAGAAGGGGGTTTTTTTTTTAAGGGGGAAGATCATCGAATGACTGCTCCCGCCTGGGTGAGGCGGAAGGGAGTGTCAGACTCTACTGACTAAAAACCACCCCGTTCTTTCTCCTGCACGTCGAGCCGAAACCCGGTTACCCGTTAGGTTCTCCGCGACTCCGAATCGACATCGGCCCTATTGGGCCCCATCTGTGGTGGTCTGATGGCTCTTTGAGGCGCGCGCGGAACGCGACGCGCCGTACGCTCGGGATCAGAAGGGGGTATATAGTTTACACAGCCCTGAAGTAAATAATAAATTTCCTTATAGACTAACCTTAGTGAATGGTCCTGCAAATCTCCAGAGACCTCCGAAGCCACAACTCTGCATATAATGCAACTGTTGTTGACTCGCGTCTTCGCTCGCTATCATATTCTGAAACATATCGAATTACATAATCATAGACAGAGGTGCACATTACGGCACTTAATGCTGCTGTATATATAAATAAATTTATTTTATGTGTATATAAATAAATTTATTTTAGCTGTTACAAAATACTTGTCGACCAGTGTAATTTTTTGGATAGTTTCCTAGGTCAAAAATAAATTATTTTGATTTTTCAGTCCAATTAAATATTGAAAAATAGTTACACTTTCATTCTTTGATTTTTTTATATTAGATGGGACTGACGTTTGTCCACTATCTCGCCTGGTGGTAAGCGATGATGCGGTCTACGATGGAGCAAATCGTCCAATAAGCAACCTATTGAAGACACCCAGATTATACCCTTCAGGAAATACAGACTCTGGCAAATAATTCCACTCCTTACCAGTACGCACAAGGAAGCTTGATGCGAAGCGCTTCGTGCGTGTGGGCGGAACATCTACCATGAATCGGTGACGCTTCGCCGATTGTCTTGTGGTACGATGATGGAAAGGACAAGGGGGAATCAAGTTGTGCAATTCCTCCGCACTTACGATATACTTAATTTTCGATTAATTTTAGCATTGTTTAGATATAAGTGTGCTATTTGACGCGAAAATATGATGACGTCATAAGCTGGTATTTCGTACAAAATTCATAGAACAGTATCGTTTTTAACGTTTCGATAAAAGAATTTGACTTGTTGCCAACTACCGTATTATTATGAATTATATCTATATTAATAATTTCGTCAAGGGGTACGGTAGACTCGATCGAAACATTACCTGAATAACAAAACATAAAAAAATATCGATTTCGAGTCGACAACATATATCCGCAAAATTCGGATTACGGAGATTATTTCGTTTTATTAATTCATTTTAATGACACTGACAGACAAACCGCAGTCGCCATCTTGAGTAGACAATAAACGTTCCGTTTCATACTAGCTCTCAAATACGCCTCGCCAATCAACACGTTGTCGCGTCATAAAAGTATAATAAAGAAATATGAATAATTTACGACGATACAGAAAACCTCTTGTGCTCCCTGAAATAACTTAATAAAAGACCACAATTCAACAATAGCGCGCTCACGTAAGCTCACATGCACCCTCACACACACACACACACACACACACACACACCCTCTCACACACACACACACACACACACACATACAGTAACTAACTGCCTTATCTGAGTCCTAGTTATTTTTATTTATTTATTTTTATGGTTTCTAATGTTATTTTCCAAATACAGTAAGGTAATGAGCGATTGGCTCTTACAAGTTTACCCACAGTGATCAAGTTTCATAATGAAATACGTTATTCACCATGTCTGCATGCTTTGTTATACCCACCTGCATTTGTCTGATTATCTAATCACTTGTATTTCTTACTCAAAATTTGCTTATTATTTGTTTATCACTTTTGTATTATTTTTCTGTTCACTATTTTATGTTGTATGGTTGCACTGTAACTTTGATGCGAGAACCAACTAGTCAAAACCTTTACCACTGGGCCACCAAGATACAGGCTGCGCCTAGTTTGGGGCCCACGGGCACCTCTACCGTATCTGTATTTATGTAAATACTGTTTGCTTCCATGCCTACATGTAATCTAACTTGTGTATGCCAATAAACAAATTTTATTTATTTATTTTTATTTTATTTCACGCGAACGAAGTCGCGGGTAGCAGTTACCTGTATAATACTCTGTACAGCGCTCAGAATGAGTTGATCATGACAATGCATCAACACGTGGTTGATCTTCATATCCAGTAGACTGTGACTGTAAGGGGAGACATATTAATGTTAGTATGAACCTTATTTACATAACATAATCCGTGCCGTCCGAATGCCTCGTTGGCCGAGTGGCCCCAAGTGCGTCTGCCGGGCAAGGGGTAAGTACTACAAGATTTTTTTTTAAATATTAGTCGCAGCACGGAGTCTGGAATTGTGCTCGGTATATGGCAATAGGCTCACCCCTATTACATGGGACTCATAACATAAATAGTGAAAAGTGGGTGTTACATTGTACAGTGGCATAATGTACACCTCTGCCTACCCCTTCGGGGATAAAAGGCGTGATATTATGTGTGTGTTACTTAACATAACTTTTATCCCCGAAGGGATAGGCAGACATGCACATTACGGCACTTAATGCCACTGTATAATGTAACACCCACTTTTCACTATTTATGTTATGAGTCCCATGTAGTAGGGGGTGAGCCTATTGTCATATACCGGGCACAATTCCAGACTCATTGAACTTTATTTATTTGGACTCCAAATCTAACAAAAGATACAGATATTTGTTAAAATATAACCTACATTACAATTGCCTTATGATGCTTCAACTAAACAATATATTAATGATTAACTAAAATCGCGGGTTACTCACATAAATATACTGAGAAAAGCTCTACTAGTTTCAGTGAGCTGCGCGACATCGCCGCGACCGCGCACGCTGCTCATGAGGAAGAACCCCACTGTGGTTCGAAACTAGTAGACCTTTTCTTAGTATATTCACGTGAGTAACCCGCGATTTTTAGTTAATTTAGTATGTCTCATAATAGTTATTATAAAAAATATATCAATGATCTCAGAAACGGCTCTTATACCTTTTTTCCTATATTTATTCGTCGTTATGTAAACAAAAATATGTACCAAAAAGTTCCGTCACAACACTGAGCGAAGCTCGATCCACCAATATGTAATTATGTACTTACATGACCGGGAACACTCTCGGGAACACCACGGATCCCTCAGCCAAGTACTGGTATAATATTCTTATCTCATCCTCGTCTGTAAACACAAAACAAATACATCAGTAATTGAGTACTTTCCTTAATCAAAAATAAATAATTTCGACTGTTCAATACAATAAAATATTAAAAAATAATCACACTTTCATTAATTGATTTTAGTACCAACTTAATTTTAGTATCTTACCAGCAAATTTAAGAAATAAGTATGTTAATATTTTTCAACTAATAGCGAATGGAGACCTTTTTAAACTTATACTTTTTTTAAAAAACGGAGTTCTATTGGCTTTTGTTTTAAGGGGGGAAAATCATCGAATGACTGCTACCGCCTGGGTGAGGCGGGAGGGAGTGTCAGACTCTTACTGACTAGAAACTACCCCGTTCCTACTCCTGCACTTCGAGCCGGAGCCCCGGCAACCCATTAAGTCCTCCGCGGCTACGTATCGGCATCGGCCCTATTGGGCCCTATCCGTGGTGGTCTGATGGCTCTTTGAGGCGCGCGCGGAACGCTCGGCGCCGTACGCTCGGGGCTGGTTCTGGTCGGACGGGGAGCCACCCATCCTCGCCGTCCGCAGGCCCGCGCTTACGGTGGCCGGAGATCGTCCCCCGATCCCCGACGCCCGGTGTGTCTATTGCCATACAAACGTACCTGTAGTATATTTGACGAGTGTTGCTAACACGGTGAGTACGAGTGCTTGAGTCGTGAAGTCCTCTAGAACTGAGGGGTCCAGCAGACTGTTACTCTCCGGACTGCTTGTGTCCTTGTCAGTAGACGCTTGCTATGGAAACAAAGAAGATTAAATTGGCTGCCTCGTTGGCCGAGTGCGACTCGGCAAGGGGTCTCGGGTTCGATTCCCGGGTCGCGCAAAGTACTACAGAGTTTATTTTAAAAAATCTATGTGGTAGCACGGATTTTGGAATTGTGCCCGGTATACGCCAATAGGCGGGCCTATTACATCGTATATCCTATTACGCCTATTACATCGGATATCATATATCCTATTACATGGGACTTATAACATGAATAGTGAAAAATGAGGTGTGCACCTCCGCCTACCCCTCAGGGGATAAAAGGCGCGATGTTATATATCTGTGTCTTAGTGGCGTATTTTCGTAATTTAACTTTGTAACCACACAATTAAAAACTAATAGAAAAATGGATAGTTTCTGAGATGTTTAACATTTTCTGTTTTGGTGAAAACATTACGATCGAACTACAAAAACATCAATAAATAAAAAACTACTTGTTTGATTCAAGTGATTTTAGTTTTAATTTGTTGTCAATACATCAGAACTAGCCACTTTCTGACCAGAGACCTTAGGGCTAATTTTGTAGGTAATTAGTTGTATTATCACCTCCCGAGAGGAGTACGTCGAGTTACAAGTCACCCTGTGTAATAAGATTAATGCACATTCATCGTCATCAGCCTGTATTCGTCCACTGCTGGACATAGGCCTCTCCTATGGCACGCCACTGAGCTCGGTCTTCAGCTCTTCTCATCCAACCACTGCCAGCCACCTTGCAGATGTCGTCACTCCACCTAGCTGGAGGGCGCCCTACACTGCGTTTGCCTAGACGCGGTCTCCACTCTAGAACACGTTTACCCCAACGGTTATCGGTTCTTCGGCAAATGTGACCGGCCCACTGCCACTTCAGCTTACTGATCCTTTGGGCTATGTCGATAGCTTTGGTTCTCTGTCGGATCACTTCGTTTCGGATTCGATCCTTCAAAGAGACTCCGAGCATAGCCCTCTCCATAGCTCGCTGCGCGACCCTAAATTGGTGGACCAGTCGCACTGTCAGCACATAATGCACATTACCTTAGTAGAAGTCTCAGGGTAGTCGCTGTCCCCAGATTTGGTAGACGACGGTCGCTCCGTGTCATCAGTGCTGCCAGGAGAACCTCGGCCATCATCCTCGACTATCTGTAAATTAGAACATAGATTTTTATGGAGTGGCCAACGAGCGAACGGATCACATGATGGTAAGCAATCAACACCAGCTATCATCATCAACAGCCTTTAAGTGTGGGAGAGCCATGCTTCGGCACGAATGGGCCGGCTCGACCGGAGTGATACCACGGCCGAGCAGAAAACAGACGTGAAACAACGTTTACGTTGTGTTTCGTCGTGTCAGTGAGGTTACCGGAGGCCCAATTACCTCCTTCCTCAGTCTCCCCAATCCCCGAATCCCCCACAATCCTTAAATTCCTAATTCCCAAAAGGCCGGTAACGCACTTGTGGCGCCTCTGGTGTTTTGGGTGTCCATGGGCGACGCCGATTGCTTACCATCAGGTGATCCATCGGCCCGTTTCCCGGCTTATCTCATAAAAAAAACCCACCACGCTTGCTCAATGCAGATAGGTGATTTCAAACTTATAATTAGAAATTATAAGTCCAGGTTTCCTCACGATGTTTTCCTTTATCGTTTGCCAGTGGTGTCTAGATAAACAAATATAATTTGACTTATTACTCACATCAAACCCGCTGTCACCATCGCCTGCTTCCCTCGCCGACTCTCCAGTAGGACCGTGCTGCATGCTATGTGCTCTGCCTTCACTGTCCTGTATATAGCGTGAACATATTACCATATATACAGCTAAAGGATGACACATTCAGGTAGTAGGTATAGGGGACATTTAAGGAGTAGTGGTTTCGAAGTTTTTGTACTATAAATGCGAACAGTTTTGCTTGCCTCATCTGTTCAACCGATGTTATTTTATATCTTTTTGATTGTTTTATTGGATACGTCGATAAATGGGCAGACGGATCACCTGATGGTAAGCAATCGGTGTCACGTCACCCATGGACACTTGGAGCACTAGAGGCGTTACAAGTCGGCTTTTTGGAGATTATGAATTTTAGAATTGTTGGAGATTCAGGGATTGGGGAGATTGGGGAAGGGGAGGGGTAATTGGGCCTCTGGTAGCCTCACTGACACGATGAAACACAACGCAAGCGTTGTTTCACATCGGTTTTCTGCTTGGCCGTGGTATTACTCCGGTCGAGCCGACCCATTCGTGCCGAAGCATGGCTCTCCCACATTAATTGTGCTAACATTGTAGTTATAGTGTATGATACAATTTAAAAGCATTTGGTGTAAGCTTTGTGCTTCATGTTAGCACCTAGCGGGTTTTTATAACATCATGAGTAGCTACGCGACGTCCGTCGCCGCGACCGCTCATGCTGCTCATGAGGAAGAGTCCCTCTGCGACTCGAAACTAGTACAGCTTTTCTCAGTAAGCTCACTGTAGTCGGCGACGTCGCACAGATCAGTGAGTTGCGCGACGTCGCCGCGACCGCGCACGCTGCTCATGAGGAAGAACCCCTCTGTGGTGCGAAACTAGTAGAGCTTTTCTCAGTACATTCACGTGAGTAACCCGCGATTTTAGTTAATTTAGTATGTCTCACAATAGTTATTATAAAAACAATTACGTGAGTAAACCGAAAACGATAATAAACTTCGAAACCACTTACAAACAACACATATTTTGGACATTTGGTAGGGTAGGGTGAACTCAATGTACAATAGGACAAAAATCTCAAAGCGTCATCTAGGTATAATGTAGTTTTAAAAATCTAGATTTTTGTATTTCATTATCTAGGTACGGTACGGTAAAATGGGGTGAATAACCCTATTCACCCTTGAGCCCAACCATTTGAGCGACGAAAAGGGCCAGAAGAGGGGTGAATCGATACTATGAAGAATTTTCTTGATATCTATTCACCCCTCTTCAGTCCCTATTCACTTCTCGATCCCTATTCACCCCATTTTACGGTACGTATTTTGTATTGTTTAATTAATTTCTTTTAATTTCTAGTTCTAGAAGCACGCTGTGTTGATTCAGTGGTTTTGTGGTAGTGTTTAGCTAGGTTAAGGTTCGATTTATTTAAAGTGTAAGTGTGCTATTTGGTGCTTTAGTATTAAGACTCAAAGTTTAGCAATATTTCTTGAGACTCCATTTTTGTTTCCATTTCATTCACCAGGCCATGTTGGATAGCAATGGCATCCTTTTTGCGATATTTATTAACTTATTTATTGTCCAGAGGGCAGGATTGTTTTACGTATTAATTAATCGAAAGGAGCGCATACGGCGCTCTGATTGGCCGTCACCGATGAACCAACCAATCAGGGTGCTTACTCTTGAAAACAATCTTAATGCCAATGCAATTTCAATCCAATCAAAATCTCAATAATTATTCAATGTCAACACTATACAACCACTATTGTAGCTGTTAAAATAGCATTCAGAGTACGGAATATAAAGCCAAACTCAATACCATTTAGTTCAGTAAATATTCACGCAATACGGATGCAATGAGCGCTAGTGTTGCACTCAAGAGTACGAAATTTTACAATACCAATGTCGATCGATCGGGATTGGATTCAAGAGTAAACACCCTGATCGCCGAACGTTGTCTCGTTTCGATTACTAAGCCCTCAATACTGCTAACAAGGCTAACAAATAAATTAAGTGTGGTTTACTGATCACATTTTTCACATTACCGTTTTCGGGGGTAAATTCATATAGGTAGGAGTGACAATTCTGATTAATATCTTGGTCCAGACTGCCTCGTTGACCGAGTAGTCGCAAGTGCGACTGCCAGGCGAGGGGTCTCGGGTTCGATTCCCGGGTCGGGAAAAGTATTACTGGTTTTTTTTTAAATATCAGTCGTAGCCCGGAGTTTGGAATTGTGCCCAGTTTATTGCAATAGGCTCACCCCCTATTACATGGGTATCATAACATAAATAGTGCAAAGTGGGTGTTATATTGTACAGTGGCATTAAGTGCCGTAATGTGCACCTCTGACTACCCCTTTGGGGATAAAAGGCGTGATGTTATGTTATGTTATTTAGAATCTATAGTGTAGTTTTAGAAAATTCTACGCCTGACATAGCAATGTTTTTATAGTCATGAGACGTCAGTTACTTTGTTTATAATTTTAATAGAGTATAATTTTAATAGAGTTTTTGTTCGTTTATTGTTTGTGTTAAAATTGTGAGAAGGGTGACGACAATATACCGTCAATTTTCTAAATATAGTTAACGTTTTGGTCTATTTATTTTCTTACGTAACCTAGTTGTGTTTTTTTGTTTGTTTGTTTGAACGCGCTAATCTCCGTAACTATAAGTCTGATTTGAATAATTCTTTTTGTATTGGATAGCACATTTATCGAGCATGGCTATAGGCTATAAAACATCACGCTACGACCAATAGGAGCTGAACAGAGCGTGTGAAACCGCGCGGAAGTAGCTAGTATAATATATAGATTAGGAGAAATAAAAATCGTCATTGGAACACATACTTTTTTTTATAACCTTCTCACAATTTTAACAGAGTAATGTTTACTATACAGTCAGTTTGAATAGCCAATCATAAGGGTCAACCATGCGGGTTTAAATTTTGAACTAAGGGTTAAAATTAACCGGGGTTTCGGATATCTAAAGGACATCTATTTAGTCATAAATAGGGTTAAAATATTAGGGGATTTTAAGGTCAAAAATAACTATTTTGCGATAACATATTTAAGCTAAAAATAACGAAAAAACACACAAAGCGATAACCGCTAACTGTATGTCAAAATAACGATAACTAGTTATCGCAAAACGTTATTCTAGTTATAACGAAATAACGGTAGGACAACACGTTACTCTTGGAGGGCCGATCGTGTCTTTAGAAGTCGGCACAGAGAACGACCTCTGCGTTTTAAAAAGCATTCTAGCTGACGTCTATTAAATAGAAGCAGTGCAAAGCGTAATCATACGACATCACAATCATTTACGTTACAAAAACCGTTGTTTGTTAAAAAAAAACCGTTTTAAACGTCAAACGTAAATAATTGTTATTTTGAAGTGATATGTTGCGTTATAGACGTGTTTACATGTGTTGTAAAAGCGTTATTTTGGCGGAAAACGTTTATAACGCATTACAGCGATGCGGGTTATGGTGAATAAGTAATACAAACGATAAAATGTAACCAAATCCAACAGGAGCGTGTAAAAGACAACAGTGATATGAGTACGTACGTGGACTAACTGGAAAGATAAGTAGAATTAGTTGATGGCGGATTGAAGAGCGGATAAAGGATAATTCGTTTATTAATCTCACACATAATTTTTTATACATATATGTCTGGACTTTATTAGAGACTGCCTCGTTGGCCGAGTGGTCGTAAGTGCGACTGCCGGACAAGGGGTCTCGGGTTCGATTCCCGGGTCGGGCAAAGTATTACTGGGTTTTTAAATATTCTCAGTAGTAGCACGGAGTCTGGAATTGTGCCCGGTATATGGCAATAGGCTCACCCCCTATTACATGGGACTCATAACATAAATAGTGAAAAGTGGGTGTTACATTGTACAGTGGTATAATGTGCACATCTGCCTACCCCTTCGGGGATAAAAGGCGTGATGTTATGTTGTGTTTATTAGAGACGGGCCTCTGAGTTAGTATCGGCATTTCTTCTCAGAGTAGTCAGTTAGGAAATGTCGGCTTCATCGTTCGTTTGATAAAATTGACGTGTAAAAGTGCTGCCTTGTAGCCTATTTGCAGAAATAAATTCATTTGTTTCACTAATAACGGTTTTTGATAACGTTTATTTTGTGTCTATAACTGTTGAAATGTAAATGGTTATTTTTGTGATAATAACCGTGTTGTACCTACTATTGGTAGTTTTTGGTAGTATTTTATTTAAATTGTAGCATTTTTATTCTATGTTTTATTCTACTGTGCTATTACTGGCTCTCTGTTTAATAGTTTCATAGGAACTAGGTATTACGAAGCCAAATCTTAAGGAACCATTAGTCGGTTCTGTAATTTACTAATGTCGGAATACTCAAACGCTACTCAATTTTAAGTCGTGCTTAAGTATAGTTCTATCTCTACAAATTCTTTGTAAAATGACAGAGATGGCACGATATTTAAGTACGACTTAAAATTGAGTAACGTTTCAGTATTCCGACATAAGTAGTCTACCAAAGGTTACTGTCTCTGTACTGAAGCTTTATTTTCTACCTGCATATTACATTGACTGACTATAGAGGTACATAACAGCGACTGAATTTCATCAGTACAATACTTAGATCTCTTGTCTCTGTCTACCGCAATGGGAGACAGGCGTGTCAATATAATGACTGCACGTTAAGAATTTGGCCCTAGATTCTGACGTCCTGACAAACAGACTAACATACACACACATTCGCATACATACATCTCAGATTTGTGATTGACTGCACGGTTAGCGCGGTGGTTGGGTAACTGACTGCCGCGCAACGTGTCGCGGGTTCGATTCCCGCACGAAACAACTCTTTGTGTGATCCACAGATTGTTGTTTCGGGTCTAGGTGTCATGTGTATGTGAACTTGTATGTTTGTAAACGCACCCACGACACAGGAGACAATCCTAGTGTGGGGCAACGATTTTTTTGACGTGACAACTTATAAATTGGTTTGCCGGGTGACACTTCAAGAAACTGCGTTACGCTCCGCTCACGTTATGCGCTCGCAATGAGAGCGAGTGAGAGGCACGCGTCCCTTCCAGTCGGGCATGGTTAGCCCGCCTAAGAG